TCACATAATATATGTGCAGTTTACATTATTGATTTTTAAACATGCAGAATGTTGAAATAGTTTGCAGAGTGTTGACAACCATGCTACAATTATGGAAATTCTTTGGGCCAACGTCAATTATAAAGCAAATTTTCAAGTATAAAAAAATTATTAGACTATTAGTTGAGTGTCTCTCCATCTCAAAGCTTATTAATATAATAGTTCAGTGCAAATAAAAGAATATAAATGTTCCCTGAAGCAAAATCTTTTTCTAATTAATTACTTAATTGGTACAGGGTCTTGCTACACAGCTCAGACTTATAGTGATCTTCCTGTCTCAGCCTACCCAGCACTAGGATTATAGGCATATGCCACCACGCCTGATTTCGGAGGCTGGCACAGCATGCCCAGACTTCTGGGGCCAGCATGGCATGTGGTACCAGGGATCAAACCTGGGTCCTTGTGCTTCCCAGGCAGAAGCTTAGATCACCAAGCTATCTCTCCAGCTTCCTGAAGCAAAATCTTACCTAGAGATACCCTTCTTAAGAACCTGGAAGTCTTGGATTTTAGAAACTGATCCTGCCAGTAATCTGTCCCCATGCCCACAGTGGCTTTTCAAGGAGACAGGGATGAGGCTGAGATGCAAGAAGAGAAGAGGACCTCATTGAAGACTCTTCATGGACACAGTAGTCACCTGGGAATTTGGAGCAATCTCTCTTTGCTGTACCCCCTACCCAACATTATCTCCAAGAAGAAAATAAAATCCTATTTAATGTGAAAAATAATGGCTCTAGGTGATGTGGGTCTGTTCAGTCACATACATTACCCAAAAAAGAAGTGTATGGGGCCAGGGAGATGGCTCCGTAGAATAAGCACTTCCCTGGCAAACACAAGGGTCTGAGTTCAATCCCTGATTCTACCAAAACAAAAAGAAGTCTACGTTCCCCTCATTCGTTGAAAAAGCCTTAGCTTCAGAAACCTACCTTCCTTCCTTCCTTCCTTCCTTTCTTCCTTCTTTCCTTCCTTCCTAGTATTTAGCATCTGTTGCAATACTAACCTGACCTGATCACCATGCTTATTTGTTTTCTTTAAATCATGATTTTCCAACTAATCTTTTTATGTGAATTCCACACATGTATTCCTGTAATCAGAATTAGTTCTTGGGCCAGGGAGATGGTTCAGTGGAATAAGTGCTTCCCTGGCAAGCGCAAGGGCCTGAATCCAATCCCTGGTTCCCACCACCACAAAAAAAAAAAAAAAAAAAAAAAAAAAGAATTAGTTCTTGAAAGATATATTTCCTTAAACTTAATTTTTATATTTGTAAAGTATCAAATATCTGGTGAGTGAATTTTATAAGTGTTGTCTTTCCTGTCTTCCAGAAACTTGCAGTTCAGTCATGCAAACAAACACACAGTGACCAGAAATCCTTGTAAGTGCAGCCACGGCAGTGGGGCATTGGATAACATGGATTCAAGAAAGAGCATGAATCTCTTTGGATTCATGGATTCCCCTTGGACTTAATCTTCAAATCAGATGTAGATTTGACTTTTAGTATTAACATGATGGTTTTATTTTTCAATGCACAGACAGCGCTTTCTAATGTAATAAACATTGATTTGACAAATGATTAAGTTTCTTAGAGCTGTATGATCATTTATATAAATCATTTTTCCATAACATCGATAGGTTATTTTTTTAATGTGTTTGGTAGGGGGTCTCACTGTGCAGCTCCAACTCATAGTGACCCTCCTGTTTTCAACCTCTCAGCACTGAGAATACAGGCCTGTGCCACCACGCCAGGTCTTGGTGGCCAGCACAGCATGCCCGGGGGCGGGGCTGGTGTGGCATGTGGTGCTGTGGATGGATCTCTGGTCCCTGCACTTGCCTAAGCAGGAGCTTAGTCCTCTGAGCTATCTCGCTGGCCCTGATAGATTTTATTTTTTTTTAATTTTTATTTATTTATTTGAGAGAGAGAGAGAGAGAGAGAGAGAGAGTGGTGTGTGTGTGTGGCCAGCTCAGCCCACCAGGGGGCGAGGCTGGCTGGCATGTGGTGCTGGGGGATTGAACCGCGGTCCCCGATGCTTTGCTAAGCTTGTTCTAAGTAGGTGCTTTAGACCACTGAGCCATCTCTCCAGCCCCCTGATAGACTTTAAATAATCTTTTTTCTGGTTTTCTTTACTCATTGTGCAAAATATATCTCTTTCTTTCTGCCTTTATTTCATCCTTTCTTTCTTTCTTTCTTCCTTTCTTGCTTCTTTCCTTCCTTTCTTCCTTCTTTTCATTTGTTCTTTAGTGCTGCAGTTTGAACCCAGGATCTTTGTGCTGAGATATATCCTCAGCCCCAATTTTTTTTTTTTTTTTAATTTTTGCTTTAAGCTAGGGTCTTGCAAAGTCATTAAATACGCCCAACTGGGCTCAAATGTGCTATCCTCCTGCCTCAGCCTCTCAGAGTGCAGAGTTTACAGGTATGCACCACCAATCCTGGCTTCCCAGATTTTTAATAGAAGGTAGTGTTTCAAAGACAAAGGTCTAAAATATTTTTGAGGCCTATGAATAATGTATGATAAATATCTTCGCATATGATATCCTAAATTTAAGTACAGAAATATCAATTTCTTTTTTTAACTTCCACATAAAATCTGCTTGGAAGAACAGTAATTAAATCCAGAAATTATGTTCTATATATTATTGGAATTGCCTGAGAAGTCTATTAATATAAGATACACTTATTTCTAAAATGTGTATATTGCAGCTTGGGAAAGGGAGATCCAGTTTTTGAAGATTATGTTTTGAGGTTAAAAATGGAGATAGTGACCTTAAGTCTCAAGATTTGTTCAGCTGGCATGCCATCTATCTCAATAATACCTAACAAGAATGTCAAATGGACAGAACCAGCCATGGTTAAGTGGGTGCTTGCAGCTGACAGTGATTGCTGTATTTGGGGTGATGGGGAACAGGCTTTCCATTAGTTCAAGTGAAATACAATGCCCTGCCAACTTGAGGTATCAGTGTATTCAATCCCCCTGCTGTGTGTGTCCATTTTCTGTTGCTGCAATTAAAAATCAGTCGATACAAAGTCAAAATGTTGTACATTCTTCCCCTATCCCTTTCCCTGTCACTGTTTCCAGCCTTGCCAGAAGAACATGTCACTATGGAAACTAATCCCTATGGTGCACACACCAAGTCAACCTTTCCAGCAGACTGCCAAGCAGAGTAGCAGAATCAGAGCCCTGGATGGAGCCACCAGCAGCCATCAGTTCCCTACCACTTTCTCTCTGTGGGGTCAACCAGTTTGAGATGGGGTGCCTGTCTTGTTCTAGAAGGTGGTCTAGGAGGAAAATTCAAGAATGCCCTTCAGAAAACCCTGCCAGGGCTTGCCAGTCATTACTGACATGAATTCTCCCCCACTTTTCAGTTAACTTCCTGCCATTTCCATTTTAAGGAAAGCAGAAAATGATGGCTAAAACAATAACACTTTATGGAGCTTCAAACTGTTACAGTCTCCCCTTGTCAAAAAAAAAAAAAACTATTTCCTCTTGTTTTCCTACTTCTCAGTTGAACCCTAAGTTGCTCTATTCTGGCGTCCCCCCAACATCCTGCACATCTTTATAAAGTTATAGAGCTCCAAATGAATCACCCCACCCTAATAAAAGCCTTGTCATAAAGCAGTTGGGACGTTTGCGGCATACACATACCCATAACTAATTCAGCTGAAATCCCTAGTCATCCTAAAGAAGCTACAAGACAAACCTCAAGATGGATTCTCTCCCTGGACCTACCTACCATCTCCATGAGAAGTAGCCTTCTCGACCATACACACTGCTTGTCATTCTTAAACAAGTGACTTTTTTTTTTTCAAATTAACTTTCTTTCTGATCAATCCTACACTTTCTAAATCAAAGAGCATCAGTTCTCACAAGTATTATTTTAAAACATCAGCAAACCTCACAGCATAATAAGAGACAATAAGAACTGCTTTATGTCTCGGCCCCAAAGCATTTTGCAAATAATAACATCATTGTCACTTGGCTTCACCCCCTAATAGTCGAAGCGAATGACAGAAAGTAAGACTCCTAACATCTGCACATCTCCCCAGGGTGCAGCCACCATGGAGGAGAACATATTCTTTTTCTCCAAGTAATGTTAACACACATCACAGTCAGTGTTTCGGCGGGTTGATGGAACGGGATAGTTGCTGACAGACAAATCATGCAAGATTTACCAATTCATCAAAAAGGCAGAATTTAACATTCAGCTTTGTACACAATCATCCTAAAGTATCAAGAACAATTTTATACTTAGTAAATGTAGCTTTTTCTGTTTTGGTAGACTCCCAGCGTTTTTTGTAAAGAGCTTCTAATAATTGGCATTTTGTCTCTGAAATGCCCACTTTGGTGTGACTTTCATTGTGCTTATTAGAACCTGCAGATACTCCCTGCACACCAGTCCCTTTTGTGACCACTTTTTTGGAGGGCAAATAAAGAACTGTGATGTTAGCTACTGCCCAACAGGCTTGGAGCTGCTCAGGGCAGGGTTGATGTGTTGGTGTTTATATGACCGATGCCTTCAGCACACCTGGGATAGAGCAGCCCTCCACAGATGTTTTGCTTTGAGCAAGGCCTCTGTGAGATGTGCCCCTATTTCCCTTGGTCGGATCAGTTCAGTATCTAAAACAAAATTAAAAATCGGAAGCTGTTATCCCAGACACATCACTCTTAAAGGGCTTCCTCTTAATCACCCAACCTTACACTGTAGATTCCCTTCTCTGAAACTGCTGAGAAATTACCCTGGATGAGAACCCTGGACCAGGAGATTTCAGGCGAATCTGGACAGACAGGAGCAAGACTAGAGGCCGGCAGAGGGTACAGTCTCCAGCACACTGTTAGCAGGGTCAGGAGGCCCAGCCAAGAAAACTGCACCACCTGAAGCCGGGATTTGGGACAGCCAGTGGGAGGAGGCCGAGGGGCTGCGGGGCCTACCAGAGGCACCCGGCCCTCTGCAGCGCCACGCCTCGCGCTTACCTTTCCGAATGAGGGCGGCGATCTCGGGATCGAAGCCCTGCCGATGGCATTTCCTCCAGAGGCCCATGTTGGTGGAGTTGTACTGCCGGCTGCACTCGTCCGCCGGGCTCAAGGCGAAGAGCTGCCGGCGATTCCGGGCTCGGAGGAGTTTGCCCTCCCAGCGGTCCAGTCGCGAGCGGCTGGCCCGGAGCGGCAAGTTGTTGTTGTTGTTGTAAATGAAGCCGGGGTCCACCCGGCGGGTGTTGAAGGCCTTGCACCTGTCCCTGTGCTTCCTGGCGTCCGTCTCGTACCAGTGGTCCGAGCAGATGGCTACGGCCAGCATGCCGAGGGCGCAGAGCGCTAGCGAAAGGCCCGTGTAGAGCAGCAACCTTCCGGCAGCCATGCCTCCGCCTCGCCTACACCTTGGGCATGACCCGCCGCGGCCTCGCCTTCCTCCGCGCGCCCGCCCGGGACCAAGCGGCGGCGCCGAGCTGGGGGTGGGGACAGCGACAGCAGGGAACTCGGCCTGGGGACTGCGGGGATGGCGGCGGGTGGCCTAAAAAGTTCTGATCGGACTCCCGGGCATCCTCCGAGGCGGGCGTAGCCGCGGGCGGCGGCGGACTCCACGCGGCGGCTTCCCGCCCCCTCCCCGTCCCGCAGGGGGCGACTGCTCGGGATCCGCGGCCTCCGCTCACAGCCGGGCTCCGGAAACCCAAGCCCGAGCGCCTTCGGCTGCGGTGGAGCTCTCTGCGGATTCTTTGTGCAGCCAAGAGGCCGAGGATTTAGGGGACGAGGCGGTGCGATCAGGGGCAGCCGCTCGAGTGCACCCGCGCCGCGGCCCGCAGGCGAAGAAGACCGCCGGTGCCAGGGCCGGCCGCTCCGAGTCGCGCCTTGGATCTACCTTCAGGGTCTCTCGCCCTTCCGGTCTGCGAGCAGAGAACCGAGATGTGCGCCCAGCAGCGATCTTCCGTCCTGGGTCGGGTCTTTTCTAGATTTCCGTCCTCAGCTCCCCGGCAGGTCCCTCGCCGGCCCACGAGGTACCCTCAGCGGCGGGCTTCCCGCGGACGCGCGGTCGCTGCCCACCGTTCCCCGCGAGCTCGCAGGCTGCCGGCCTCCGACCTCGCCATTCAGGCGGACGGCGCGGACACCCGGGCCGCGCTGGGGGACGAGTCCTGGCCCCGGGTTAGCGAAGATCGGGCGACCGCAGACGGGCGCGAGGGGCGGGCTGCGCAGAGGAGGGCGCACCAGGCAGGGCGCACGGCGCCGGGCGCCTTCAACACCATGGACAGGGCGCGCGGTCGCCTCGCGCTGCTGGCCCCGCGGCTGGTCCCCCCCGGGTGTCACGCCGCGCTCCCGGGCGCCTTCTTCCTAGAGTGTCCCCCGGCCACCTCCAGATCCGTCTCTGCCTCACTTCATGTGGCTCCCTGCAGCCTGGAAGCGTGTAGTCCAGGTGCCCAGAAAATGCTGCGGGAAGGGAGGAAACCCGGGTCCCCGCTACTCCACGACCCGCCCCCTTCTTCGGCCACCTGAGCCAGGCACGCTATCGCCGGGTCTGCTTTGCCCAGCCTGGGTCAGCCGCTCTGCGATTGCACCATTTTCTTCGCGGCCCGCCCGAGTGCCGAGACGCTGGCGCCCTGAGCAGCAGCGCGCAGCGAATTCGGTCCCAGCCTCAGAGTCTGGCGACCAAGCTCCCGGCACGCGACGGTCGCCGAGGTGAAAGGGACGAGGGTGGGGGAGGGACCAGGGTGGTTCGGCTTCCCCTCCCTGCCTCTAGGCGCGGCGGCTCCGAGGCCTCGCTGGCCGGCGGGTGCCTGGGAGGGGTGGGAGCCCAGGCTGTGCCCCAGGAGCTGGAGAAGTCGCCTCTCCAGGTGCAGGCGCCGGAGAAGCCACTGCCGCGCTCGCTCACTCGGGCGCCCGGCGCTGCAGCCTTGGCTAAAACCCACCGACGAGAACACGGAGCGCGCGGCCAAAAGCTAGTGATGTCATCCGTGCAACGTGAGCCTCATCTCTTATTTTTCTAGCCTTCTTAAAGATAAACCGCACCATTTCCCAGGCACGAAATGTCTCAGCCTTATTCTCTGACCAGGCAAGTCAATGGTGTCTAGGTAAGGTATGTGCCCAACCACATCCATATTTATGCACATATACATATATGTGGCATGTAGCATGTTTACATGTATTCTTATACATTAAGGGATGAAACCTACATCCGTTTATTTGGACCAGGAAAAACTTCCTCCAATCCACCACACAGCTTTAAAGAAAAGACTGCTGATTGCAGAGTGGGCTGTTACCGGAGCTGAGCGACCCCCGTTTTCGGTTGCTAGTGTCTTGGGGTGCATTTCATCTACACACACACACACACACACACACACGCACGCACCACGCAAAGCCACAGGCACTGCCTTGCTTGTTGTAAGGTTTTCCACCCGGGGCTGATAGGGAAGCGACTGCAGGGTTCACGGTCAGCCTCGACCCCCGCCCACATCCACCTTCCTTCCCTCCACAAAAGGAAAAGAAAAAAGAAACAGGGCCGATTCTTTCAAGACCGCAAGTAGGGAATCTGAATGGGGGAGTAAGGACGGTTAGACGTTTTGAAACGTAAGGGCTTTGCACTTTGGGGAGGAGCGATCGGGTCAAAGGCATCCTCCAAACAGACCTGTCCTTCTACACAGGTGGCGGCTTGATTTGGGCTCTGCAGGACCCCAGACCTGGCGCGAATGGGCCTCGGGCGAGCCCACTGTGTGCCCACCCCCATCCCGCCTCTTGTCTTCCTTACAAGAAGCCGCCCCGAAAAGGAGGGAGCCTCCCTCCCGGCTGCAATACTGGGTGCTTACTCAAATGGTCACCCTGCTTTGTTCCCCTCTCTGCAGAGTCGGGGTTGCTGAGTGCCCGATAAAGAGCTGCCCTGGAGGCAGAGTGCCAGGCACCGGGCGTTACAGCACGGGGCTTCCAGAGCGCACCTCCACCATGTTCTTTTTGTCTTTTTTTATTTTCTTTTCTCCCCCCCCCCCCACATTTCCAGCATTTTGAAAATTCAAACAAGGCGTTTCAGTGCCATCTAGTGGGGGAGGGGCGCGCCTCGCTTTCCGCCCCCTGGATTCAGCCAAAGGAGTGACTGAGGAAGGGACAGCAAGCAGTGCCCACTGGGGGATCAGGTGCCCGGCCATTCAAGGGCTGCAGACACCTGTCCTGGGCCAAAATCTCTGCTCTGGGCTTTCCCAGGATGTTTCAGCCCAGCGGAGCTTGGGCCACAGTCGCACTTCTGGCTTTCTTGTCTACCACCGATTCTCCCTCTTCAACCCTTGAAGAACAGGGAAAAAAACACACTCTTCGAACCCATGCACGCATCTTCAAATTTTGGGAAGTGTGTTTTTTGTTTTTTGGTTTTTTGTGTTTTTGTTTTTTTGTTTTGTTTTGTTTTGTTTTGTTTTGTTTTGTTTTGTTTTTTTTCCTTAAGGCCCAGAGCACTTTTAGGTTCCTAGGGCACCTACATGTGGTAGAGAAGCAGAGAGGTGAGACGCCACCCACAAGGGCACTGCTAGCATTAGTGTCTCCTAGTCCCTAGCCGTCTCCTCTCCTTAGAATCAGCTCCTGCACCTTTGGCAGCACAAGCAGGGCCCATTCCCAATGATGCACCTGCTCCTCTGTCCTCACCTTTCCCCCCTCCTTACTTCACTCCGCTCTTGCTCCTACTGCTTAACTCTTCCCCTGGGCCTTGTCCTAGACCTGCTTCCAGCAATGTGCCTTCCCCCACGCCCCAGTGTCTCAGGTCCCACATGGAAAAGCGACCTCAATGAGATACAGCCCTCCTGTTCTCAGAACACCATTAACATTCCATTTTGACATTTTTATCCCAGAAATACCAAACATCCTGTGAAACATAGTGATGTGAGGTTTCCTTTGAAGTGCAGCTTTCTACTATTTGGCGATAGTCCTGGTCCTCTGAGCTCAGGAGGTAGTGGAGTCTTCTTCTAGGCTTATAGGAGGCCATGACTATCTTCTATTGAGTGGGCTAGGTCTCTTCTTCTTCTTCTTCCAGTTCTTTCCACCCTGTTAGGTACAGCAGCACCATCTTGTATCGCCAAGCTATTCTTCTCCACTCCCACCAACGTTGTCCTAAGGTTGTAAAATCTCAAAATCAGGAGGGACTTCAGAGCCAGCCACCCAGCAATGCACTTGAACATTTGCACAGGGAATCTGCACAATGCACAGACCATTTCTCCAGAAGAGAATGATGCATCAGCTTGCACGCTTGAAGGGATGCAGAAGTCACTCTAACAGCAGCCCACTCTACTACTGGACAGAGTAGGTGATGACACAGTTCTGCCTTCTACTGAGTCTTCCTCTAGGTCTTTTAACTTCTATCCATTAGCCTTTACCTTTCTAGTCTAGAGACCCACGGGTGGTATCTGACTCATCTTCCATACGATTGTCCTTCTCATACTTTTTTTTTTTTTCAGAACCAGGAATTGAACTCAGGCCCTTGCACTTGCCAGGGAAGCGCTTGTTCCACTGAGCCATCTCCCTGGCCCCCTTAATGATTCTTTTTACTATTTTTATTCTTTTTAAAAATAAAAAAAGAAATCTACATGTTTTTGAGCTTAGGAATTCCATTTTCTCACATGTACTAACTCCATGTTTTAAAGAAATGTCCTGGACCAGCCAAATAGCTCAGATTAAATCATTTGCAAGCAAGTACAGGGGCCAGGGGTTCAATCCTCCCATCCTGGGGTGCACTGAGATGGCAACTGAGACTGGGCATGGTGTCATGCATCTGTAATCCCAGAGCTTGGGAGGCTGTAAACAGGTGTATCACTACAAGTGCAATCTAGTTGTGAGACCCTGAACACCCTGTAGACCCATCCTAAAATACAAAATAACAATAATAATAAAGAAATGTCCTACAAGCTCTCTCTGTGGTCCTCAACAGAAGCTGAGACATCCCTGAAAGCTCCCTCCATTCCCTGAAACACAGACTGGCACCAGCTCACCTAGAGTAAAGAGATGCTTTTGACAGTTTCTTCTCTCATTCTACACTGTCTTAAGCTATCTTATTGTTCTATCCCACACTTCATCTCAGTCTAAAAATCTTTTCCTTTGCATTGTCATTGGGAAGCAAAATACAAGTTGATGGAGTATGTTTCCTCCTTGTCATCTAGTTACATTATATCATTTCCCTATAGAAAAGAGGCCTTGCATATTCTTATTCCTGTCTTTATAATTCACTATGTATAGTTCAGATATTTCATGTTTGGTGATTTTGAGCTTTAACTCTGCCAACACAGCTCCTCAGCCCTATAACATGCAGGTATTTATGCCTACACAGGTGCCCTTCCTCCCTCACAAGACCTTCTTTCTAAGCCTCAGCTCACTGGAGTATGATACTGGTCTGTCCATCTTCCCTTCTTCTTTCCTACTTCTTTAGGGTCAGTATAGGGAAAGGCTGTCTTTATTCTATTCCTAGACATCTAGATCATCTCCTTGATGTTATTTTCTCCTTCTTTCACCACCATCACTTTATTAATTTTCTTAAATTCTA